CGCCTCCGCGGCGGCGGCGGATCGCCCGTTTTGGCAGCTGCTCCGACTGAGACCCCGCCCGAAACTCATCGCGCTGTTAAAATCCACGACGCTGGAAAGCTCCCGCTCGATCAAAGGCGAGGCGGCCCGAAGCAGCGTCCAGCGAGATCCGTGCCCGCTCCCCGCGGAGACGCGCAGGGAGGACCTCGAATCGAAGCTGTCTTGCGAGCCGCTCAATCGCCGCTCCGCCATCCCGCCCCCATTGCAAATCCGCAGCTTACGCTTCTTGCGGCCCGAATCCCCTTCCGGGGACCCTGCGGGCGGGAAGAGAAAGGGATTGCTGTGGCCTGGGCTCGATATGGATAGAGTCCTTCGGGGATCCTGACTGGTGAACTGGTGGCATCCCATTGGTAATTCTTGATGCCCACCACCCCACCCTCTCAGGTAGCTTCCCCGCTTATACTTTAGCTTCGAAAAAATTTTGTTTGGAAATCGTGAACGCGTGGGGACGCGGCATGCACGCGATAATCTCGAAAGAAGGGATAAATCTAGCCTCCTAGCTCCACCCACTCATCCCTTGAAAAAAGGGATGTTTAATAAAATAAGTGACTCCAAGAAAGAGGCACCGAGCGCGGGTAAAAGTTAAGATACTAGTTTATTTATCTATATAGATATATAGATATATAGATATATACTCGGTACTTCTTTAAATGCGCTTGCTGCAGTTAATATCTTATCGTCGTAAGTGCCGTATTTCAAGTCCTGGGGCTCGTTATGCTGATCCCAGCAAGTAAGAAACAAAGGAGAGAGGGAGGGAGATAACCCCAGAGGAACGGGTGGAGTCAAGAAGCGATGGCTAAAAATCCTTGAGGCGATCAATTTCTTTTTAGTTACCTTTTGAGGAGGAAGAAACTATTTTTTTTTATTTGGTAGTTCTGCCTGTTGTATATTTTTTCTTAGCCCGCTATTAGTGGGTTCTCCAAACGTGTTTGTTAATATTATATGCATGTGAAAAATAGGAAGAGATTGAGATTTTGTAGGCGGCGAAATATAAATGATGCATGAAGGAAATAGAAGAGCATCCGATACATGGAAATCTTTTTTTTTTGAAAGCAACAACAAAAATCCTCCCACTTAGTCGCTCAAAACCTACGACTGTATGTCTGATAGCTCAAACCAAGCAGTTAACTACAATTTGATATCAACCAACTTCCATAAGGACATGAAAGCATGTGTATTTCACCCCTTATAATAGTAGAAATGGTATACCCTTCGTTTCTTCCACACCAGATATATCCACTTTCCTCACTATTCATAGGACACACCCTCTCTCTCTTCATAGAGTAATTTATGCAAGTAGTCAGAAGAATAGACGTACCGAAAAGAGAAAAACCGAAGTATGATTTTACAATGAGTTGGAAAAGACATCGAAATTAGCTTAGAGGTAGTGAAATCAATAAAAACGGGCCTTGGTAAAGAATTTTGATGCGGTACGTCAACTGGCTTCCTCCCAGGTAGCAATAGAAAGCTGAAGGAGGGAGAAAGCCTAAAAAAAGAAAACATGTGTCTTTTCACGATTCTCAATATTTCATCGAAGCAAAGTACGTTTCTGTCTCGCCTCTTGTACATGAAAAGTACAGCAGAGCTCATTATGTGAACCCATGAACTCCCCCCCCCCCCTCACTTGTCTCTTCGTTACTTTTAAGGTCTCGCATTGATGTGGGCAAATTCTGGTTGGAAAATGAGATACTGGGTTAGCAGGCATTAGAGAAGCCCACTACCCGTCCTCACACCGCAACCTGCCTCCCCATAATTCATTCCTCCTTCCCAAACGTAGCCTCGTCAGAAAAGTCCAACTCCTCGGCAAACACAAAGGTATGATACAAGCCGCCCACGATGCCCCGCACGTCCATTCGCTCCAAGCCAGGGACGAGTCGGTATTGGCTGCACGTGCGGTGAAGGGGGGGAGTTGACAATATGGCAGCAGATGCCGGGGGGGAGTGGTAATCCAGCACGGGCGAATTTTCCGCGTGGACGACGGAGCCGCCGCGCCCGCTCCCGCCACCGGCTCCCGGGTGAGCCCGTGTGGTGGTGCGGAGGGAGGTCCCGGACCCCCCCGCCGCGCTGGTCGTCGCGCCCGGAGCGCGAAAAGGAAACGACGCGTTCCCAGGGGAGACCGGGCGGCTGGTGATACCCCCGCCGCCACGTGGAGTCTCCCCAAAAGTGTAGACCTGCGCGTGGGACGGTCGGTGTTTGCCCGGGTAATCCATCTGGCAGCAGCGCTGCGTGCAGCCCGGCTGAGGGTTCTCCATCACCACGAGGGTGTGCTGGCGGCCACAGGAGATCGCCCGGGCGACGCCGCCCGCGACGTACTCGAGCCCCACAACGCGGTAGGGCGTCGTCACCGCCTCCATATTCCCGGCCCCCGCCCCGCACTGCCCGCTGGCGTTATCGCCCCAACAAAAGACGACCCCGCGGTCCGTCAGGGCGACGGTGTGGAAGGACCCACAGGCGACGTCCGCGACG